AGAAAATCACTGTAGTACCTCTGAGTCTGGAGAAGAAGATTTTTGAAATATTGATTAATTTTCCCTTTGGGGCCCCGCCCTGGCCCCAGGGGTCGGGGTAGGAATCTCAATTTTACAATTTGAAACCATCTACCTCCAAGGATAATTCTCACCAAGTAAAAATAATTTCCTACAGAAAGTTGTCAAAATATACCCAAAAGTGTTATTTCCCTATATAAACTATAGTAAACTTTACCCCCTCCCCAAGGGAGAACGGATAGCTCGGGGGTCCTGAAATTTACAATTTAAGTAAAGCCCCTGATGATCTTTCTTTCCACATAGAGAAAATCACTGTAGTACCTCTGAGTCTGGAGAAGAAGATTTTTGAAATATTGATTAATTTTCCCTTTGGGGCCCCGCCCTGGCCCCAGGGGTTGGGGTAGGAATCCCAATTTTACAATTTTGAAGCCTCATCTACCAAGGATGATTCTGACCAAGTTTGAAAAAAATCATCCACTGGTTCTTGAGAAGAAGTTGAAAATGTAAAAGTTTACGCACGACGGACGACGGACAACGACGGACGAAAAGCGATTAGAATAGGTCACTTGAGCAAAGCTCAGGTGACCGAAAAAAGACCATTTAATCCTATTTTACTTCATGATCAATTCACAGAATGAATTTATGGAAAAAGGAACAAAAAGAAAATCTTGTAAAACATAGGTGAGATATGTTTTGGTAAAGCACCCGTCTATTTCAGAAATACTTTTTTTTAAGTGGCTACATCTACACTGTTTTACCTCTTGATTATAGCCTCAGCTATACACTGTATTTCTTGATTTAAGCCTCAGCTGTACACTGTATTACTTGATTTTAGCCTCAGCTATACATTGTATTACTTGATTTTAGCCTCAGCTGTACACTGTATTACTTGATCATAGCCTCAGCTATACACTGAATTACTTGATTGTAGCCTCAGCTATACACTGTGTTTCTTGATTATAGCCTCAGCTGTAGACTGTATTACTTGATTATAGCCTCATCTATACACTGAATTACTTGATTTTAGCCTCAGCTCTACACTGTATTACTTGATTATAGCCTCAGCTATACACTGTATTACTTGATTTTAGCCTCAGCTATACACTGTATTACTTGATTATAGCCTCAGCTATACACTAAGCTGTACACTGTATTACCTCTTGATTATAGCCTCAGCTATACACTGTATTTCTTGATTATAGCCTCAGCTGTACACTGTATTACTTGATTATAGCCTCAGCTATACATTGTATTACTTGATTTTAGCCTCAGCTATACACTGTATTATTTGATTATAGCCTCAGCTGTACACTGTATTACCTCTTGATTATAGCCTCGGCTGTTTTCTCTGCTTTAGCTTTACTGCTTGGTCCAGCCACACCTGCCACAGCAGTACACCTGTACCCGTCTAAGTAGGTCGCACACACCTAAGTGTTAAACAAAGGCAAACCTGGTTAGACTTGACATCATTTTCTGACAAATAACCTGATCTTTGAAGAAGGTCACACACATGTAATCATTAAATTCAGAGGAACTGATCATGATCAGAAACACAATGAAATTTCGATTTTCTGAAATAACTTGATAAAAAAAATGTTAGCAGTATTCTATGGTATACCTGTAAATTTCAAAAAATCAATATCTATTATGTTACATCTATTAGAGATTAGACAAACATTTTACTTTGTAGTCTGCAGTGGGCGGTCTCCCCTTGACCCCTTCAACTAGCACCTTGTCCTTGCCTGCAAACAGATACATGTATTACATTACAGCTTGGACGAAAACATCCAGAAATCATTGGTTTAGAGCTGTCACTTGGTCTGATTTTCTAAAGATCAGCAGCCAACGTGACAGGTGTCAACTTCGACTGCTTCAAAGCTAAAAACAACATGTATTCTCACGAATTAGCTAATTTCCGTAATACAACAGTATCATAAATAGGATGGATGTCTTCTGAATCTCTTGGCCAATTGAACAAGAGGCCCAGAGGGCCTGTATCGCTCACCTGGATATCTAAGCAATCATGGCAAAGTATTCTCCAAATGAGATCCAACGGAATATGCCAGACCTCAAGGCCAATCCTTGTAGCATATCTGTATTTGATTGTTTATGCCCAGCAATTTTATGTAAGGTTATGGGGTTGGGATCTCAACTGTTTCCAAGCTGTGACTCAGAAACTAGGTCCCTAGTGTTGTGACCAGACCCCAGGATCAATTCTAATATCATGACTGCATTTGTCTCTTTTTGCCCAGCATTTGTATATTAAGTTTTGGGGGGGGGATCTCAACCGTTTCAAAGTTATGACCCAGGGGTTAAGTCTCCAAGGGTGGGGCCAGACCCTAGGGTGATCCTGGAAGCAAATGTGCATTCCTCTCGTTATACTCAACAATTGTATATATGGTTATATGGTTGGGATCTCAACCATTTCCAAGTAAAAAAAAAAAATGACCCCACCCCTTAGCCTGGGGGTTCAGCCCCACCATTTGTACAATTTTGAATCCCTGCCTCCCATGAATGCTTCCGACCAAATATGATCAATATCCATGGTATATTTTTCGGAAGAAGTCATTTAAAGCAATATAGCCAAATTGCCCCCTTTTGGCTCAGCCCTCAGCCCCATTTGTACAATTTTGAATCCCCACCACCTAAGGATGCTTCCAGTCAAATATGGTTGATATCCATCTCTTAGTTCCAGAGAAGATGTCGCTTAATGCAATATAGCAAAATTGACCCCTTATTGCCCCGCCCCTCAGCCCCCTGGGGGGTCAGCCCCATCATTTGTACGATTTTGAATCCCCACCAGCTAGGGATGCTTCCAGTCAAATATGGTTGATATCTATCTCTTAGTTCCAGAGTAGAAGTTGCTTAAAGCAATATAGCTAAATAACCCTTTTTGGCCCCGCCCCTCAGCCCCCACAGGGATCAGCCCCACCATTTGTACAATTTTGAATCCCCGCCAGCTAGGGATGCTTCCAGTCAAATATGGTTGATATCCATCTCTTAGTTCCAGAGAAGATGTCGCTTAATGCAATATAGCCAAATTGACCCCTTATTGCCCCGCCCCTCAGCCCCCTGGGGGGTCAGCCCCATCATTTGTACAATTTTGAATCCCCACCAGCTAGGGATGCTTCCAGTCAAATTTAGCTAAATTCCAATAGGTGGTTGAGAAGAAGAAGTCGTTTAAAGAAATTGTTGACAGACGGACGACGGACGCCACGGTATGGCATAAGCTCACCTTGGTCCTTTGGACCCGGTGAGCTAAAAATAGGGAAAGGACATGTCCCAATCACATGTTTAAGTGTTGGCACAGTTGCAACAGTGATAATCAATAAATATGATTGGTTTCAATAGAAGTCAACAGCAGAGCTGGATCAAAATAGCTTAAATGACTTAAAAGGGCCAATACAATCACTGTCATGTGCTTTATGCACACTAAGCAGAAAAAAAACCAGGATGCAAATTTTGTGCAATAGAATCCTTCGAATGGGCAGGTATGATGGTCACCACATGAGAGCTACAAACTGTTTCCTTATCAGATAAAATATTTTCTTGAATAATGCATTAAATTTTTTTTTTTTTGGTAATTAGGAGCTAACCCCTTATAGGGTAGCTGACTATATAACTAATGTCGGTGATAACACTTTTGACTTTTCGTGTACTACATGTACATAAAATTATTCCATTTACTCAAGAATATGGAAGAAAACAGAAACAGATCAAATGGCACAGGAATGGTTCCCTGTGTGTATGTAATACATTAACTTACCTAAGTCAGTAAGGTTGACCCCTGTGAAATCACACACCACGTCTGGCAGGAAGTAGTGAGCTGGGTCCCCAATCTCGTATAGTAGCTGTTCTGACACCGTTGCCGTGGATACCAGACCCCCGGTACCAGCAGGTTTAGTTACAATGATCCCTCCGTCAGCATCACACTCCACGATGGGAAATCCAATGTTATCCCTAGTGCAAGCAATCATGACAACATATTCTCATTAAAAGCAATACTGCAAACCAGTACCCTACTGGCCAAACATTGGTATCATCACCCTAGTCATTCAGGTTGTTTTGAAGAAAGTTCAATGTCATATAAACAAACTTGGTAACCCCCCATCTACCTACCAGCATGCCACCTTGCTACCTTTAAGTAAGTAAAATTTATAACACTCCATCTTAGGTGTACCTACTGGCAAAATATCATGATCCTAGGTCTTCCAGTTCTTTAGAAGAATCGCAAAAAAACAAATTGATGGATGACAGACGACACCATATCAAGCTCACAGACACTTATAATGTCAGGTGAGCTTAAAACAAGAAATTGAGAATATGAATTCTTTCAAACTAGGAAATATTTGCAAAACATTCATATGCCCCAGCTCCAGCTTTAATTGAAATGGGCCTAAACAAAATTCTGACTGAAGTCGATGAAGTTCAAAATATAGGTCACAGTGACCCATATTTAATAAATTTGTGTTGCACTCCTGAATTTGTTTCCATATATACAAAAAATCACTTAAAGAATCCATTTGAGTGTGTCGACTTCAAGAACTTACACTTACCAGTTTTCAACCTTGTGCCAATCTGTGAAGATACCTCCGGTCACCTGGGCGCCACATTCTATCAGATGTCCAGCCAGACTATAACAGGTACAATCACCATGAGGTCAAAAGTGTGTTGTTTTAATTCAAAATGTGAGTAAAATAAACATGAAAAATAACCACCAAAAAACTGATGGATGTTTCTCCCCTGTTTAATCATCAGTGTAAATAAAACCTCAGATCTCCTTATATAGACCTGACCTGGTCAGTGACTTTGGGTCAGAGTGAGACCTAGCTACACTTGTTACCGGGTCGGTGACTTTGGGTCAGAGTGAAACCTAGCTACACTTGTTACCTGGTCGGTGACTTTGGGTCAGAGTGAAACCTAGCTAAACTTGTTACCTGGTCGGTGACTTTGGGTCAGAGTGAGACCTAGCTACATTTGTTACCTGGTCAGTGACTTTTGGTCAGAGTGAGACCTAGCTACACTTGTTACCTGGTCGGTGACTTTGGGTCAGAGTGACACCTAGCTACACTTGTCATGGTACATCATCATTTGTTTAATAGAACTTTATGAGAGAAATGTTTTCTTTTTGTTTATTCTGAAACTGTGCATCACTTAATTTCATGTAATGTAATAATTGTAGTAGACTATTGTCGTACATACCTGCCAGCAGCAAGCTTATCAAACTCATCCATTTTCCACTGAAACTAAAACAAAAACAAGCATATCAAAAGTCATTGTCTCTCTTACTCATCGCAGAGAAACTTTTTTTGAAATTCCAAATTTATATTTTGAATTGGACCTGAAGAAATTGGGAAATTTTGCTCAAAGTTCAAGTTCTTGTAAATATCTTTCATAAAATAACAGGTTTCCTACAGATTTTCTCTAAAGGAGGTAACTGTATCAAAGTTTATACAGATGTCCAATTTGGTAATTAATCTTAAAGCTGAAGTAACTCAGTCAAAAGTAAATTCACAAATTATAAATATTTTTCACCTCACAATGACATGAAGTAAAAAAAACATGTAAATTGTCAGCAAATATATTGATAAGAAAAGTTTAATCATCTCCATTCAAAGCAAAATTAACATAATCATTGGCAAATCATTAATTTTGAAAGTTTGTTTGTTTGTTTGTTTGATTTTGTTTAACGTCCTATTAACAGCTAAGGTCATTTAAGGACGGCCTCCCCTGTGTGCAAGATGCATGCGTGTAGTGTATGTGTGTGTATTTTGGGAAGCTGCGATATGTTCGTGTTTGTCTCCTTGTGATAGCGCGGAACTGATGCCGACTTTATAGTGCTACCTCACTGAAACATACTGCCGAAGACACCCAGCAGGACGCCCCACCCGGTCACATTATACTGACAACGGGCGAACCAGTCGTCCCACTCCTAATTTGCTGAGCGTTAAGCAGGAGTATAAACTACCATTTTTAAAGACTTTGGTATGTCTCGGCCAGGGGACAGAACCCAAAGCCTTCCTCACAGGGGCGAACGCTCAACAAATGGCCAAAAGTGAGGCATTGTCAAGGGAGACATTAGGAAGAAGAAAGTTATTTAGAAAGGAGAGAAGAGATAAGGTCCTCTTACGATCATGCAATTGGGGGCAGCAGGTACAATTCTTACGCCCTACCTGCAGGACAATTTTGAAAGATTTTGTTTCTCAAGTGAGTTACATTGTGTAGGAGGAGTTAACTTGTGTAGGAGGAGTTATCTTGTATAGGAGGAGTTATCTTGTGTGGGAGGAGTTACCGTGTGTATGAGGAGTAACCTGTTGTAGGAGGAGTTACCTTGTGTGGGAGGAGTTACCTTGTGTAAGAGGAGTAACCTTGTGTGGGAGGAGTTACCTTGTGTAGGGCAGTAACCTGGTGTAGGAGGAGTTACCTTGTGTGGGAGGAGTTACCTTGTGTAGGAGGAGTAACCTGGTGTAGGAGGAGTTACCTTGTGTAGGAGGAGTAACCTGGTGTAGGAGGAGTTACCTTGTGTTGGAGGAGTAACCTGGTGTAGGAGGGGTTACCTTGTGTAGGAGGAGTAACCTGGTGTAGGAGGAGTTACCTTGTGTAGGAGGAGTAACCTGGTGTAGGAGGAGTTACCTTGTGTAGGAGGAGTTACCTTGTGTGGGAGGAGTTACCTTGTGTAGGAGAGGGGCTAAGACAAGAGCACTGTCTGTACACCGGCCTGTAACTACAATGTCTGCACCAAGATCTAGAGCACGTGCTATCGGCCCAGCACTGGAAATAAAACAAACATATTGGTGATAAATTTATCATTTTACAAAATTGTACAGGATGATAAAGTTAAAGGGATGATAACGTCTCAGAATACACTCCGAGACATTTTGCACAGTCGAAACAATCTGATAACAGGAGGTGTTGTAACTCATTCAAGGCTATATATATATTATAAATCAGAAAAATGATCCTTACGGACGAATAAATATTATATAAAGAAAAATTCTTAACAACGAGTCTTTAGTACTTTCATCTCTTCTAGGAGATTCTTCAGACTGTTTATTTGAAATAAACAGTCTGAAGAATCTCCTAAAAGAGATGAAAGTACTAAAGACTCGTTGTTAAGAATTTTTACTTTATATAATATATATATATATATATATTACCAAATATATCCTGTGTGCGAGTTGTGTGAGAGTTGTCTTCCTTACATATTTAAATGCTTGAGTTGTGTTAGAGTTATCTCTCTTATACATTATAAGTGTAATATCATTTTGGAACCCTTAACAAACAAGAGGCCCAATGGGCCTGAATCGCTCACCTGGTATTAATCTCATACTTGTAATCTTAAAAGTGGACTAAAATACAGCTACAGGCAAAATATCAGTGTTTGATTCATAAGAACCTATTAAAAGATTTAAACATATGATGCCTGACACCTATAATGTTGAACAAGGGCATTAAGTTGAACAGAGTTTATTTTTTTCAACCCAGCAGGCTTCTGGTAAAATATCAATTACCTTGGACCCTTTGGTTATTCAGAAGAAGCCGTTTAATGTTTTTAAATATATTTGACCCCTGTGACCTTGAATATAAGTGAAGGTCATTTATTTGAACAAACTTGGTAGACCTTTATCCCAGTTTGCTTCTGGCCAAATATCATCACCCTAAGCCTTTTGGTTATTAAGAAGAAGTTGTTTAAAGTTAAATATTGACGCCTGACAACGGACGGACGACAGACGGATGCCGCACCACGGCCAGGTGAGCTAAAAATCACTTGAAAAAATTATCTTTCTTACCCAAGATATGCATTCATGCTGTTGACTGTGCTGGGGAACTTTGTTCCAGAAAACATCTCTTTGTATCCTTGTTCATCTATTTCAGAGCACTGTGATAGAGGAAATAATGATAATGTCAACCAAGATAACGTAGCAGTTTACAGTAGCGCTCGGTGGCCATGTGTGATATTTTTATACAATGAATAACCCCTGTAATATTACATGTACCAATTATTATTTTTTAATATCAGCACTAAAATTGGCATACATGATGAAGTGGACTACGTGATTAAAATACAGCTCCTCATTATACTATGGTTCTACTATCGTACGATTTAAAAAAAAATAAAAAATTGACAGACAGACAGATAGAGATTCCAGTATACTGCGGGGTGGTATTAGGGTATCAAAAATACATACCCGGTCTTTATAAACAAGTAAAGCTCCTGTGATAAAACTTTTACCCAAGTATGAGCAGAGGGCAACAGTTCCTACAGATCTTCAAAAGCATACATAATGGACCAACAAGTCAATTGAGCAGCAAAAAGTCTTAACATTGGGGACATTTCGTTTGTAGAGTTTAATATACATGTACAGGCAATGTCATGGGTGTAACCATTTATGATTTAAAATGTTCCCTGCCAAACAATGCAGGGAATAACTTAAACATTATAACCCAATATGTTCACCTTTGGCATCAGGTCATCGCCCGTGACAACAGCAATGTTCAGGTCAACCGAGGCCTTCCGACAGACTTCACGCAGGGCAGCAGCACAAGCCTGAGGGTTGGTACCTCCAGCGTTACTTATAACACGGATACCTTCAAGTAAACAGGATATAGTACATAAATAATCGATGTACAATCTGAAACCCCAATCAAACAATAAACCAACACCATTAACAGGTACGTATTATATATACCTGATACTGTATGTACGTATTATATATACCTGATACTGTATGTACGTATTACATATACCTGATACTGTATGTACATATTATATATACCTGATACTGTTTGTACATATCATATATACCTGATACTGTTTGTACATATCATATATACCTGATACTGTTTGTACATATTATATATACCTGATAATGTTTGTACATATCATATATACCTGATACTGTATAACCCAACACAATGAATTGGTATTATTTATACCTGATACTGTATAAACCAACACCATGAACAGGGATTATATATACCTAATACTGTATAAACCAACACCATGAACAGGTATTATATATACCTGATACTGTATAAACCAACACCATGAACAGGTATTATATATACCTAATACTGTATAAACCAACACCATGAACAGGTACTATATATACCTGATACTGTTTGTACATATCATATATACCTGATACTGTATAAACCAACACCATGAACAGGTATTATATATACCTGATACTGTATAAACCAACACCATGAACAGGTATTATATATACATGATACTATATCATAAAAGCCTCATACAGCAAATAATGAAATACACCAGCTTACCTCTCTTTTTAATTTCTTTAACATAAGGTGCTGTGGACGCCAAGACAAAATCTGGAGCATAGCCCATCTCCTGAATCAGATTTTATGACATAACGATAAATCATATGATAATACTTAAGTTAATATAACCTGAATGTTGTTGTGCAGACACTTCACTTAACATATTCATGAAGGGTAAATTAGAACTGTAAGCTAAAGACTGACTTATACGCCAGCTCCTATATAAACCAGAACTGTAAGCTAAAGACTGACTAATATGCCCGCTCCTATATAAACTAGAACTGTAAGATAAAGGCTAACTAATACGCCCGCTCCTATATAAACTAGAACTGTAAGCTAAAGACTGACTAATATGCCTGCTCCTATATAAACTAGAACTGTAAGCTAAAGACTGACTAATACGCCCGCTCCAATATAAACTAGAACGGTAAGCTAAAGGCTTACTGAGGCAAAGCAATATAGTCTCCCCACCAGTCACAAGTATTTCGCACAAAGGGGCATAACTCCATCAAAAACGGGTCGAAATCCAAAATTAAAATGCCAGTGCACATTTACATAAGGTACCAATCATTCATGCAAGTTTCAATGAAATCCATCAGCTAGTTAAGGAGGAGTTGCATGGACAAGTATTTCGCACAAAGGGGCATAACTTCATCAAAAAGGGTGGAAATCCAAAATTAAAATGCCAGTGCACATTTACATAAGATACCAATCATTCATGCAAGTTTCATTGAAATCCATCGATTAGTTAAGGAGGAGTTTTCCGGACAAGTTACTGCGAATGACAGACAAGACAGGGTGATTCCAGTATACCCCCCTCCTAAATTTGTTGCGGGGGTATAAATATTTTAGCAATAGGATGTATACGTATACTTATATCATAATTAGATGTTATATTATCATTTTTTCCATATAAGCAAGACTTCCATATTAGGCTGAGGGGCTGGAGGCTTGCCGGGCACAAATCACTATATTTCATTTTCCATTATATTTATGACACCACCCTCCCTTCCCGTCCTATTTTTTTCATTTTACAAGTGTCTACCAGTAAGCTTAAAGCATGATCACTGCACCGCATTGTTATCAAGTTATCTTGACCACTTATCTGTTAGGAGGGGAGACTGTGTTATGACAAATACAGGGAGTGAAATATTTAATTGATTCAGATAATGTTATGTTGGTATAATTTGAATTTGGTGTTCCTTTTATTTTTGATAAATACATTTAGCTAGGAGGAAATCAAGTGCAACAAAATTCTTTTGGGAGAGAAACAAATGTGAAACCAAATTTCAGCTGATTTCATCAAAACAGGGAGCAAAGATATCACTGTGTATTTTATATATATATATTTTATTTTCCATGTAAAGTACCATGTTATAATCTTACGTAATTACTTACAGGATTTTTATTTTTTGCAGCTGTCATCAAAGACATTGTGATTTCTGACAAATAATCTGACACCAAGTAATCAATTTTCCCTCCATATATCAGCTGTGGTGCTGAAAATATGAAACAAGAAATGTATCAAGTTGATAGGTACAATCACAGACTTAGATAGTCTAATTCTTTGGTACAATGTACAAGTTTACTACTTTTTTTCTTGAGTTGCGAGCAAGCTGTCACCACAGAAACTAGAATTTTTCACTCTCAGTCTCATCAACATTTATTAATACACATATTTTTTTAGCAATTTATAAATCAGAAATAAGATTACATATTCCTTACATGCACTTATAAAATGGCTCAAACAATATATATCACCATGATACACGTGTTTAATATCATATAATTTTGTAATGATATATATATATAATATAGCTACGCCTACAATAAATACACAAAAATGATAATATAACTTTATATATTTAATTTATTTAAACATCAAGATATATTTTCCTTGTCAAGAAGTTTGCACGGCGCTTATTTGACAAGTGATTTAACTAGAGTAAACACGTTTTCGTTTGATTGAACTTTGGACATGTGTTTGCATTTGCCGGTAAGTTGTTAGTTAGAAATATGACAGCTACCAGAAACGGCCGTATCGCCCCAGAATCCCGACGAGCATCCTATCCTGATAGTGCTACCATTCAATCCCTTTGCATATCTTCGACTCCATGTGGTGTTAAAGGATATGACAGGCGATGAAGGACGAAGCAAGCCGCTTAATTTCCCAAGGCGGTGAATACGAGCAGCCATCTTCCCGACTTGTTTGTAAATACCACCAAACCGGAAACAATAGTTTGCACATGCGCATTGCGTCACATGATAATCCGTCACTTTTGCAAGATGGAGGAGAGAGGAAAGACGCATACGTCAAATATTCAATCATTTCCTGTGTTTTGATCTCGTCCCTCTCTCCTAATCTAGGGGTGTAGATTTCCCCTATAGGTAGCACCCCCCTCACGTAACCATGGCTGCAATATCAGAGACGGTTTATGGAACTACTGAGGAAGGGCATGTTATGTCAGAAAAGGTGTCGTCTCTTGCGACCAACGTTTACAAAGAATTTGAACGTATGATAAAGAAATATGACGAGGATGTTGTGAAGGAACTTATGCCACTGACTGTTGCACTCCTTGAAGGATTAGATCAAGCACTCTCCGACAAACAGGAGAGCGAAGTTGAGTTAGAACTACTAAGAGACGACAATGAACAGCTGCTTACCCAATATGAAAGAGAAAAGCAGCTCCGGAAGGCTGCCGAACAGGTATAATGAATTATGATATCGTCCACGTTTTAATGTCCGTTCATAGTAATTTCTATACATTATAGATGGTGTTTACGTGCAATATCTTTTGAAGATTTGGAAATTTACAAGTTCATATAAATATTGGTCATGCTGTTCTGAATAAATTAATATTTTTACATTACATTATTGTAACAGAGCTGTGGGTGTCTATATTTTGGCAGAAGGTTTTTGTGACATTTGCATGAGAAAAAGCTTACTGCACAAATGCCATCTTGAATATCCACTTTAATGTCTTGTTAAATTCATAAGTTGCCCTTGATTGTGAAATGTTGAGCCCGAAAACAATTCCAATTTGCAAATGTGTGTGAGGTTTTACAGAAAGTTTATATCAGTCAACGTTCAAAAATATTTATGTTTGACTGAAATGATTTCCATTTTGGTATTGCAATAAAAATTGAATAACTTGTATTGTGTGCTATAATTCAGTGCTTTAAGCAATCCAGTCAATCAATTTGATAATAGCTGAAGCAAAGGAAAATATGTTTGTTTAACAAACACACACAAGTTATGACTCCAGTCAATCAATTTGATAATAGCTGAAGCAAAGGAAAATATGTTTGTTTAACAAACACACACAAGTTATGACTCATCTGGATGCTGTTGTAGAATCTTTGTATGTGTCTGCATGTGATAAAACATTTCAACATATAGAGAAAAAACTATTTGGCTTAGTTATCTTAGCTGTAGCACAAATTCTTATACATGCCTTTGCATTTGCAGTGATGTAATATAATCATGCATCTGTAAACTACATACATGTATGCATCTCCCAACAAATCATTAAACCTAGCATCTTGCAGTGGCGGTTCCAGAGACCTATCTGGAGGGGTTTCCAAATTTCAAGGGGGGTTTAAATTTCAAGTGTGGGAAAATTGAGGAAAATGCTGAAAACACATGTTTTTTTAAAGAAAATTCTTAGGGTAGGGGGGTTTCCTGAAGCCCCAAAAAAACCTCTTGATCCACCACTGTCTTAATAGTTCATGTAGAGCACTTGCTTTTTTGGTGAAAGACTGAATTTCTTAGGTGTCAGTTGTATAAAATCAACTTCTAAATCAAGGGGCATAGAACATGGTACACGTATTTTGGTTTGTAGTTGTATCAATCTTGCTTGAACAGTTGACTATATATAGCTAGCTATCAAGTTTGTTCAAATGGATGACCGTGACCCCACATTTCTATCCCGAAAGTGGTACAAAATTTCATATACGTGACACAGGCCCTATGAACCTTTTATTGTATTTGTCAGTGTGTGACAATTCACAGTTCACTTAATATGGTACTGTAAATAGCCTTATATCAATCACCAAATAGACTTTGATTGAGTGCTGTCATCAATATTATTTTATTGTTTCATTGACAATACATCCCAAGTTCAATAATTGACCAAACATGATTTGTGAACATGCATGAGAATATGCAAACACGAGTTATTCATGAGCATACAAATATAAACAGATTGTGATAAAATATTCATGATCATCAATATACACACATGCATTCATACCATGTTTTATGCACACATATATACACAACACACAAAGAGACATGTCCTTATAATTTATAATTAACCCTTTCACCACTGTAGACCATAATCAACTCATCCATATCAATGAATGGTAGAGTCTACTCAAGTTACATAGGGTTGAAAGGGTTAAATGACCTAAGCTGTTAATAGGACATTAAACAAAATAAAACCAAAGCAAAACCAAAACCATGCTTCTTGTTGTAATTATAATAATGTAATATGAGCTAAGATTTATAAAAAAAATCAAACGGAGCATGTTTATTTGGTTGTTCTGCCTCTGTAGTGAATTTGAACTTCCTGCCTTAAAATTAAACCAGGACATATTTTCATAAACATGCATGTATATATAATATGTACAATGTACATGTACTCTATACCGTACATTTATACTATGTGTATTTATATATAATAATTATAACTCAGTGTTTTTGTTACCTAAATTTTACAACAGCCTGCAGTTCCTTTAATTTATGAATTGGGAAAATATAGCATTATTTGTATTGAAATTGGGAATACATTTCTCTTTTTTTTTTCCATTTTGGGAAATAATGCACTTTTTAGCCAGGGGAAACTGCCTGTATTTGTCAGTAAAACTGAGTGAAAAAAATCGCTATCACTCTACAGATGTATACCGTGTACGCTGTGCATGTTCACTACTTATACTTGTACACCTGTGTACTGTATACGTGAATACTGTATTCATGTGTTTGCAATACACTTGCACCGTATACATGTTTACAAGTGCCTGTGATTACATGTATGTAGAATCATAAGCCTGCCAATTTAAAATAGCTCAGTAACGAGTAGTGTGCTCAGCGGTGAGTTCTGTGTCTTAATTAACTACGGCTACAATCTGCATTCCAATAGGATAACCTGAGACCACATTAAAAATCTACTTCAAATGGGGGTCAACCATTTTTGGGAAAGGTATACATTGTAAATATGGTATCTATTTATTTTCGTTCTGTATTACACTTTCCCATCACGCTTTTGAGTTTTATAGGGGAGTGTTAACTCTGAAATAATTAACTCTGAAATAATTAACTCTGAAATAAAGTATACAAACACTAGGTATTTTAAAGGGTTGAAGATCTACATGTTAATATATAATATTGATTTGATTTCAATTTAAAAATATAGATTTGAGATCAGACCTTATTTCATATCGTACATTTGTTACAGAAATACCTTGAGCTGGAGGATGGTGTGGAGGGCCAGAAAAAGGAACATGAAGAAAAAGTGGAAAGCATGGAGTCTGTAGTCCGCATGCTGGAACTCAAGGCCAAGAATGCATCCGATCACGGTACTTGTCATTTAACACTTAATTGTTAATTAGCCAATAACTTCCTTAGTGACAACACTGGTAACAAATTCTCCAGATTAAAAAAAATACTATTAAATATTCATTAAGTACAAACACTTATTTTGAATTCTTAAAAGTCATTAATGTCTTTGTTTCTCCTGGCAATGAAACGTTTCATGAACCTCAAACTTTATGAAAAATTATACCATAGCAAAGTAATTGCATCTAGGTCTCCTTGAGTTCATAAAGACATGTGTTAAGTGTATGATTTTATAAAAGCTAGCATTTGCTTCTTCCTGCTCAACTCAGTAATAAAAATAATTTTAATTTCAGTGTTAAGAATGGAAGAGAAGGATAGTGAATGGAAGAAAGAATATACAAAACTCCACGAAAGATACACCGAGGTAAAGATTGTCGGGAATTTACGACTACACATGATAGACGTTAGAGGGGGGTATATATACTGGCCATGCCAGTAGACTGACTCTTTGTCTGTCAATGAAACTTCTGTCCAGACATCTCCTTAAATAAATGACAGACTTTTGATCAAATTTGGTATACACAAGTACATTAAGTTTTGTACCTGCACTTATCCCTTCGAATTCCCCTTTCAAAAGCTCTGCCTCTTTAATTAGAAACTTGTCACAACATGTATAATTATTGTTAAACTATCAGACTGATTTTAGTTGAAACATTGAACAAATGTTCAGTCTGGTTTAGTTGTGCACTTGCAGACAAAACATTGTGATTTTCCTCTCCTATTAAATGTGTGACATGTTCCGTTATAACGGGCAAAACATTGTGAATTTCCTCTCCCATTAAATGAGTGACATGTTCCGTTTTAACGGGCAAAACATTGTGAATTTCCCCTCCTATTAAATGAGAGAAATGTTCGGTTATAATGGGCAAAACATTGAGAATTTCCTCTCCTATTAAATGAGTTACATGTTCCGTTATAACGGGCAAAACATTGTGAATTTCCTCTCCTATTAAATGAGTGACATGTTCGGTTATAATGGGCAAAACATTGTGAATTTCCTCTCCTATTAAATGAGTGACATGTTCCGTTATAACGGGCAAAACATTGTGAATTTCCTCTCCTATTAAATGAGTGACATGTTCCGTTATAACGGGCAAAACATTGTGAATTTCCTCTCCTATTAAATGAGTGACATGTTCCGTTATAACGGGCAAAACATTGTGAATTTCCTCTCCTATTAAATGAGTGACATGTTCCGTTATAACGGGCAAAACATTGTGAATTTCCTCTCCTATTAAATGAGTGACATGTTCCGTTATAACGGGCAAAACATTGTGAATTTCCTCTCCTATTAAATGAGTGACATGTTCCGTTATAACGGGCAAAACATTGTGAATTTCCTCTCCTATTAAATGAGTGACATGTTCCGTTATAACGGGCAAAACATTGTGAATTTCCTCTCCTATTAAATGAGTGACATGTTCCGTTATAACGGGCAAAACATTGTGAATTTCCTCTCCTATTAAATGAGTGACATGTTCCGTTATAACGGGCAAAACATTGTGAATTTCCTCTCCTATTAAATGAGTGACATGTTCCGTTATAACGGGCAAAACATTGTGAATTTCCTCTCCTATTAAATGAGTGACATGTTCCGTTATAACGGGCAAAACATTGTGAATTTCCTCTCCTATTAAATGAGTGACATGTTCCGTTATAACGGGCAAAACATTGTGAATTTCCTCTCCTATTAAATGAGTGACATGTTCCGTTATAACGGGCAAAACATTGTGAATTTCCTCTCCTATTAAATGAGTGACATGTTCCGTTATAACGGGCAAAACTTGTGAATTTCCTCTCCTATTAAATGAGTGACATGTTCCGTTATAACGGGGGAAAACTCCTTACAATAGTTACTCCTGTATGCTGCCATTTAGGTTTCAGTAAATTGTACACATAATTAGCACCTAAATGTACATATGTATAGTTCTGCACCTGCATTCAAATTTTGGTTTCCTTTCCTGAAAGGTTTTCTCATTTATTTTAAATAAAATTGTCATGACAACTTCCCCTAATAAACTACCAGATTGCTTTCAATGAAACTTTGTAGTTGTGTACCATTTCACGGAAATCTGTAATAATTGTTCTATTAAAGCCTGGCTAATTTCCCATACAATGACAGAGAAGTAATATTATTAGTGGATAAAAAGGTTCTCTTTCTTTCTCAGTTGTTTCGTACTCATATGGACCAGATGGAGAGGACAAAGATTTTGATGGGAACAGACAAACTGGAGTTGTCCAACAGTCCTCGTAATAAGTAAGTAAACCAATGTCTCTGACAGTGCTAGTAACAAACCCCAGAAAGGAAAGGTGTAGCAGGGTCCAACAGTCCTCGTAATAAGTAAGTAAACCATTGTCTCTGACAGTACTAGTAACAAACCCCAGAAAGGTACGGTGTAGCAGGGTCCAACAGTCCCCGTAATAAGTAAGTAAACCAATGTCTCTGACAGTCCTCGTAATAAGTAAGTTAACCAACGTCTCTAACAGTGCTAGTAACAAACCCCAGAAAGGTACGGTGTAGCAGGGTCCAACAGCCCTCATAATAAGTAAGTAAACCAACGTCTCTAACAGTGCTAGTAACAAACCCCAGAAAGGTATGGTGTAGCAGGGTCCAACAGTCCTCGTAATAAGTAAGTAAACCAAGGTCTCTAACAGTGCTAGTAACAAACCCCAGAAAGGTAAGGTGTAGCAGGGTCCAACAGTCCTCATAATAAGTAAATAAACCAACGTCTCTAACAGTAATAGTAACCCCAGAAAGGTATGGTGTAGCAGGGTCCAACAGTCCTCATAATGAGTAAGTAAACCAATGTCTCTAACAGTGCTAGTAACAACCCCCAGAAAGGTATGGTGTAGCAGGGTCCAACAGTCCTCATAATAAGTAAGTAAACCAATGTCTCTGACAGTCCTCGTAATAAGTAAGTAAACCAACGTCTCTGACAGTGCTAGTAACAAACCCCAGAAAGGTACGGTGTAGCAGGTATTTGTGGGACCAAAACTTATAACTGGGTGGTATATAGGTGTACAAGTATGATTGTGAATTTGCTTAGATCAATATTGTTACTTTTTTAGCCCTAAAATTTTCCGTGTAAACAATATACATGTATAATGAATCAAAATTATAATTTAAACGTTAAATTGAAATGTATACAAGCAACAGAAATACATTTACACAATTCAGCTTCCTTTACTTGTACAGAGATTTCCAATATGTTATACTACAATGCAATTTATGTAAGTAAATCATGTTTTTTCATGTGTCCTTTGTTTCATTAGAGACATACTTAAATTACAAGAATGTTTGAATTTTAACAGGGGCTTTCAGTTGCCAAATCTTCGACCAGTTAGTATGGTGATTACTGGTCAGAACTTAACTCCTCTAAGGTCGAGTGGCACCCCTCCCAGCCTGAACTGTCTGGACATAATGTCGCCTCGCACCCCGGCAGACTCGAACATCAGTCTGAAGAGTGAGCTTGGGGACCTTGACTCGCCCGACGTCACTGATAGACGACGCTCGGGCAAGAAGGTCGGCACATGTGACAAGGAACAGCTCACAGACAATATAATGGTGAAAGAATTTGGTACCACACCGAGTAAGTCCCCTGTGTTGTATTTTATTTTTACCCTTAAACAAGAGGTTGAATCCAATTGGGGGCAGACATTGTGATAAATGTAATGATGCAGTATAAAAACAAAGGGGGAGAAAATCAACACAGAGTGAATTGGTATATAAAGGTCAAAGGTGAATATTTGTCGGGCCCAATAACTATGATTTACATTTACTGATAAAAATATGGGCAAGGTTAACCGTTACATCCAATATTCTATGTGGCTTATCCTTGACCAGGTTCTTTTAATGTTATGTATTTTGAAAAAAAATGTAAGCAAAATATTCATATGAAGTGTTATTTAACTTTATTCCTTTTGACATGTAGCTGAACTGTCTGTTTTAGTGATTTCTGATCAATTTTCTTATTTCATGTATGGGAAATCACATATTTACATTATTGGTATTGTGTCATTGTTTCATTTCAATTGTGAATGTTGTAAGATCTATGTTCCGTGTGGTGGTGGTTTACTGTGTCACTATATCCTGTCTGTAAGGCATCCCCTAGTATCATCAAATACACTTGTACTCCTTTCTTAATTGTCAGCAAATATTTAGAGGAGTCAGATTTGCTTGAAATGCCTTAAGGTTGTTGAATATCTTTTTAATCTTAATGAAACTTTCATTTTAAGCACAGTTTAGCAAATATCTAAAGATTCTTTTTCCTATGACAAAACTAGGAAATATGCCATAAATTTTTGAACCCAAGTTTGTTTTAGAAAAAAAACTGTTGATCATCTGGTCTTCTCAAAAGTGATGATGAAACTCTAAAAATTAAAAATGGAATGACAAACATTTTTGGAAGGGAATTTGAAAAAGTACTGACTGCAAGCTTGTCAGAATGGTAGATTGTAAGGGCAGGGTTAACGCTATACGGTGTAAGGTAAGGTGCACTACAGACAGGCTTTTATGTGCTTTTGCTGACATGGCCATTGCACAGTAAGATCACATTGTACGTTAATCTGACTTTATGTCCGCTACAGCCTGAACATGCCTTACATTTGGAAACCTTTTCTCCAGCAATGATTTTAAGTTTTGAATTTTTCCTTTTCCTGTTTTAGCTTTTTGGTTTGCTTTTATTTTTGCATGTTATCAGTGGTTTTGTGTCTTCTCATTCTGCTATTAGAGGACGGTGCACCACCCAACACCTCAGAATCCCCCGCGAGTGTTCAAATAAACGGTGTAACAGACTCAGAACTTAGTAAAGGGGATAAAGACAATTCTAGTCAAGACAACAGTATAGGGAGGCCGGAGTCTCATAACACAGGGGCTGGAGAAGCCGAACCAAAGCATACAGACCCGCCACACCATATAGATAGGGCGGAAAACTCCCAACGAAGCCATTCTGTAGAAACATTAGCAAATACCAAAGCATTAGAGGCAACTACATCCGACACAACAGCATCTTCAGTCATACTTCCTCAAGGGGAAGATAACTCTGTGATAGAAACAACACCTGAAAAGACGGAAGCACATATAGCCACGTCCACCCCTCAGAGTAGTACAGAGGAGGAGAGAGTCAGGTTTGATAGCATAGATCACGAGGAGGCAGAGTTTGAGGAGGACAGAATTCCGGGTAAGTTTCCGCGGTGCTTCAACGATGGGCGATTAATGAGAGTGATCTGCCCCTGATGTACTGTAGTTTGTGTTGTGATGTGTGTTTGCCTACTGTTATTCTTGGTCTACATATACACTTGTCACTGCCATACATGTTTTCAGCACCAGTTTCTCTTCTTTTTAGAGCACTTTTTATCATTATAAAGAGCAGGGTTACAGATTATTTTTATCACTGATATACTTCCCCTGTCCAATTATGGTCTTATACTATTTTCCTAAATTATATCTAAACTAACAAAAAAAAAAACGATAGTTAAAAGTAGAAAATGAACAAAAGTGTCACAAAAGCATCTTTTACTTCAGAAACAACCAATTAATTTATTCTACTTGTTTTCTTTCTGAAAAATTATTTCTGGTTCAGGCTGATATCTGAAACTGAACAAAGTTTGTGAAGTATCACTACACTAATATATCAATCATAGTGAGGATCAAAGTAGGGTCAGAGTCATAGGTCAAAGGTCAAATAAGGAAATCATTGACCATTAGATTCCTTAACTTGTTAAACATTGTTGAAACTGCATGGACCTAATAGCTACACCACTGGATAGTGACTTCACCAATGAGGAACTGACCCCAAGGGTCACTGATCACGTACCATAAGAGGTCATGATCAAAGGTCAAAGGATCAACTGAATCAAAGGGCAAATAAGGAAATCATTGGCATTGTCCAATAGATTCACAACTGTATGGGCCTATGCTACACCACTAGATAGTGACTTCACCATTTTGGAACTGACCCAAAGGGTCACTGAACCATTAGAGGTCAAAGGTCAAAGGAAGAACTGGATGACCAGTAGTTCACTTGTTCAGGTCATCACTTGTAGTAATGAGTAGTATGTGGTGTAGAAGTATGACAGCTGATGGATGTGAACACACAGAGTATAGAACCAATGTTCTGTCATCTGCTATGCATGTCATACAATATACATTGTTTCTAGATACTCTAGCTAGTTGGAGATGGGGTAGTATAGGTCATACAATGTATATTGTTTCTAGATACTCTAGCTAGTTGGAGATGGGGTAGTATAGGTCATACAATATACATTGTTTCTAGATACTCTAGCTAGTTGGAGATGGGGTAGTATAGGTCATACAATATACATTGTTTCTAGATACTCTAGCTAGTTGGAGATGGGGTAGTATAGGTCATACAATATACATTGTTTCTAGATACTCTAGCTAGTTGGAGATGGGGTAGTATAGGTCATACAATATACATTGTTTCTAGATACTCTAGCTAGTTGGAGATGGGGTAGTATAGGTCATACAATATACATTGTTTCTAGATACTCTAGCTAGTTGGAGATGGGGTAGTATAGGTCATACAATATACATTGTTTCTAGATACTCTAGCTAGTTGGAGATGGGGTAGTATAGGTCATACAATATACATTGTTTCTAGATACTCTAGCTAGTTGGAGATGGGGTAGTATAGGTCATACAATATACATTGTTTCTAGATACTCTAGCTAGTTGGAGATGGGGTAGTATAGGTCATACAATATACATTGTTTCTAGATACTCTAGCTAGTTGGAGATGGGGTAGTATAGGTCATACAATATACATTGTTTCTAGATACTCTAGCTAGTTGGAGATGGGGTAGTATAGGTCATACAATATACATTGTTTCTAGATACTCTAGCTAGTTGGAGATGGGGTAGTATAGGTCATACAATATACATTGTTTCTAGATACTCTAGCTAGTTGGAGATGGGGTAGTATAGGTCATACAATATACATTGTTTCTAGATACTCTAGCTAGTTGGAGATGGGGTAGTATAGGTCATACAATATACATTGTTTCTAGATACTCTAGCTAGTTGGAGATGGGGTAGTATAGGTCATACAATATACATTGTTTCTAGATACTCTAGCTAGTTGGAGATGGGGTAGTATAGGTCATACAATATACATTGTTTCTAGATACTCTAGCTAGTTGGAGATGGGGTAGTATAGGTCATACAATATACATTGTTTCTAGATACTCTAGCTAGTTGGAGATGGGGTAGTATAGGTCATACAATATACATTGTTTCTAGATACTCTAGCTAGTTGGAGATGGGGTAGTATAGGTCATACAATATACATTGTTTCTAGATACTCTAGCTAGTTGGAGATGGGGTAGTATAGGTCATACAATATACATTGTTTCTAGATACTCTAGCTAGTTGGAGATGGGGTAGTATAGGTCATACAATATACATTGTTTCTAGATACTCTAGCTAGTTGGAGATGGGGTAGTATAGGTCATACAATATACATTGTTTCTAGATACTCTAGCTAGTTGGAGATGGGGTAGTATAGGTCATACAATATACATTGTTTCTAGATACTCTAGCTAGTTGGAGATGGGGTAGTATAGGTCATACAATATACATTGTTTCTAGATACTCTAGCTAGTTGGAGATGGGGTAGTATAGGTCATACAATATACATTGTTTCTAGATACTCTAGCTAGTTGGAGATGGGGTAGTATAGGTCATACAATATACATTGTTTCTAGATATTCTAGCTAGTTGAAGTTGGGGTAGTATAGGTCTCTATAAAAAACTATTAGTTAGTTTTGTTGACTTGGGTTTGTTTTTGTTTCCATAGTAAAGGCTGGTTTGTTTTTGTTTCCATAGTTAAGGCTAACACGATGGACAATCATGTTTAAATGTTTAATTTCTCGTCCCCCTATTGGTCTTACTGATGATGTAGTAACCTGTAACTGTATGGCCCTACTAATATAACCATTGACATGGGGGGTAGTGATTTCCTGACTTTGGTAATGTCTGGTATTTCTGCTTCACTTAATGCTTTCCTTTGGGAACCTGCTGTGGGTAAGTAAAACATACCTGTGTTTGTGTTGAATTGCGATATCTTGTTGAATGGGAGATTTGATTATACACGTGTGTGATGCCAGTTGCATTGCTTCATAGAAGAACTACATTTGCTGATATAGGCGTATCTTTCTCTTCAGTTTCTACAACTGTTCGCTAGAAATGTTTTATTACCGTAAATGTTCATTCGTGAATTTAATTAAGATGAAGTATTGTTCCTGATGTCTAACGTGTACATAACCTATTGTTCCTGATGTCTAACATGTACATAACCTACTGTTCCTGATGTCTAACGTGTACATAACCTATTGTTCCTGATGTCTAACGTGTACATAACCTATTGTTCCTGATGTCTAAC